GTGGGGAGAAGGGTGCAACAATGAAGGAATGGAATTCCAAAATCTCTGTAGATGTTCATTGAAATGAAAAATAAACAACCTAAAAAAAAAAATAAAAAAAGAAACAGCCTAAAAAAAAAGGTTTGAATTGACGAAGTGGCCGCAACAAGTGGTTTTGAGAGAGCCAAGAGTTCAAGGCTGGCACAGAAGCAGGAAGGACCGGGTCACACTCTGTCCTGTTACCCATGATCCCTAGGAGTCAGAGGGTCTCTCTGACGCAGTGACATCTAACAGCAGCAGCAACAACAACATTCCTGGCTAGGGTGGTTTGATCGTTCTCACCACATGCGTCGCTGAGAAGCGGGGTCCAGGCCTGAAGCTGGTTCGTCCAGAAGTAGCACAGCTGGGCTTCCCAGGACACTCAGGATGAAACAGAGCTGAAATTTAGAGAAGGCCTCTGCTGGCTGCTGCCCTCTCCCAGCTCCCAGAGAGCACCACTCATTGCACTTACCATTCGCCTGGTCCCTGCTGTCAGCTTCTGCACTGGAACCTTCACCAGAGCCTGCAGGTTGAAAGCAACCACCAATCTGATGGGGGAAGAAAATGAGACTCTTAGGTCAAGAGATAGGTTAATGGTGATTGATTTTATGAATGGTGATGCATGAGATTGATTAGATGAAATACGGTGTGAATGAAGAACAGTGTGAGATGCAGGGTATACCAAACTTTGTAAGCAAGCCAATAAGAGATAGAAAGAGAGAGAGAGGGAGAGGGAGGGGGGAGAGAGAGAGAGTTTTGTCAAATGTAAGCATACAGAGAAGTGACAGCACTAGAGGTATTACAATGAAATAATTCTCAGAAACCTAGACAATGATCCAAGATTTTGGTGTGTTATTGTTAAATACCTCCTGCAAATCATCCCTGTTAACCCATCAAGAAGTTCCTGTCTTGTGCTGTAAGTAAATCTATATAGTAGAGCAAACAGAAGGCAAGAGTTCAGAAAATTTTTCAACTCTAATGAAATTTCTTAAAAAAAAAAAGTCACTGGGCTTGAGAATACAGATCCTAGTTTCAAAGGTCAATTGACATGACATAATCTACAGGGATTATGATCTATATTCTACTTTTAGATAATAGTGACTGGGGTTTTAAAGCTGAAAAGCAGTCCTCTAAGGAGTAACGAGAGGTGTCTCTTATCAAGAGCAAAAAAAAAAGTCATTAAAATAAAATACCGTTCATCTAAAGGACTAACGAGTCACATGAACCACAGCCACTATTACCCTGAGACCAGAAAGAACCAGCTAGCCCCCAGCTACCACCAATGACACTCCAAATGGGACCATAATAGAGAAAGTCCTTCAGAGACTGGGAGGAAAATGTGGAGCAAACCCCAAAATCAAAACTAAAACCAGGTCCACTGGTTTGATGGGAATTAATGGAACCCCTAAGACCATGGTCCTTAGTTTCCCTTCAAGCCTGGAATTGAGATCATCCCTCTGTCCCAACTTCCAGCCTAGCAATGGGCATGGCTATAAGGTAAACAATAAACACTAGAGAGGAACTCACGCCGTACTCCACAGACCATGCCTGATCAAAAGAGCAGTATTTGCACAGGGACGAAGCACAGAAAGAAGGAAGGGATCAGAAGAGATAGGAAGGAAGGAAGAAGGAATGAACAATGGCAACATAAGAAGAGAGAGGGAAGAATCCTTTTACAATGTGGGGGTTGTCATCAGTGTAACAACACACAGCATGTGTGACAGTTGAATGGAAAGCCACTCATGCTAATTATAATAAAAAATATAGAAAAATTAGAAGTATGAGGCTTTATAGCCCAAAAGGAGGAGGGAAGGAGGGAAAGAAGGAAGGGAAGGAAGGAAGGAAG